TATGACCCCCCCCCCCCCAGTATCCAAGCACTTCACCTCCTTTAATGGACTTAACATCATGGCGCAGCTATGGGACACGCAAATTCTTTTGTCCACATTTTATAGTGCTCCCTGTTCCCAATTTTATCCCCATGTATGGGCATAGAGGGACTAAGTAATTGGACCAACATTACAGGGAAAGCTTGTGGCAGAGGGGATGCCAGGTTTCCCAAGCATCATCCCAGTACTCCCCCCACCACACCATCCATCCATGGCTATCAGGCAGATCAATCACTCTGCCCAAGCTGGGAATCCCCGTTAACTTACTCTGAAGCTCAACGCTTCCCACTGTAAATGAGCACAGCTTTGGAAAGGTGTTGAATTCCTACCTGGGGTGAGGCCAGGAAAAGACTCATGACCCAAGCGACACATAACATGAGTCTGTTGCGCCGACTGGAACTGGCGAAGGTGAAGGGGTGGAGGATGGCCGAGTGCCGGTCCACGCTGATCACCACCAGCACCAGGGCCGCAGAGTACATGGCGAAGAGCTTGAGGAAGTTCAGCAATTTGCACAACAAGTCTCCGGCGTACCACTGAACTGTCACGTTCCACACAGCGTCCAGGGGCATGACCATGAAGGTCACCAGCAGATCCGCTGCCGTTAAGCTCAGGATCAGCAACTTGACATGGGACTTCCTCCGCTTCCTCAGGATGCTGTACAGAACGGCTGAGTTGCTGCACACAGCTACCAGGAAGAAGCAGACGGTGATGATCACCCGGACCCTTGCTGCAAGGGTGAAAGTGGGCTTGATCCAGGTGTCAGAGCAGCTGGAAATGGAGACGTTTTCCTCCATGGCGCCAGTCGCCTGAAGAGTCGCCCAGAGGTGCTGTCCTTCAGTCATTCCCTAGAGGAGAACAAACAGCAAATTCAGTCAAAGAAGCAAAATTGCTGTTGGGTACCCATTTAGAGTGGTACATGAGGAAGAAGATGGCTCAGTGAGTTGACCAAAGGATTCATAAATGTTGTTGTTATTAAACAAACAACAGAAAAGCCATATACCAAAGGCCCAGTCCAATTTTTCCCAGTTTCCACAGTGTGGAGCACCTCTTCATAGATGGATCATCTTGGCAGGTCCTTGTCCCCTTCCACTGACAACTGCAAACACTGTGTTTTCCTCCCCTTCACAACCGCACATCATCCCGGTGGTAACTATAGCAATCGCCCACATGGCTGTGTATTTTTAGTGCTTTTCAATGTAATTCCACCATTGGGAACAAGGAGGAGTAGTTAGTACCATTTGACTGGCCAACTGTGCAGCTCATGCCCCACACACCTGTGTGGATGGACTTTTTTTTAGATTTCATAGACATTAGGGCTGGAAGGGACCTTGGAAGATCATCGAGTCCAGCCCCCCTCCCAAAGACTTACTGGTCCTTAGACCACTATTACAGCCACTCTGACCCAAACAGAGCTGCAACTGGACCCAAAATACCCTAGAGCCAGGGTCTGCGACTGGCTGAAGTGGATGGATGCATTGAGTTTTAAGATATTTTACTGGTAAGAATGGTCTTTCTGGTAGGACTTAAAAAAAATGGGGCGCCTGACTATCTTCTATAATCGTTAAAGACGATGTGGTAGTTCTAGGTACAGCAGGGATGTTAAACTAAGAGTCCTTGAGAAGTCTTCCCTCTCCTGGTGCTGAGCAGTGCTTTTGGACCTGTGGTTTCCAGAAACAGGAACTAGTTGCTGCACCATGGTATGGGGGGATAGGTGGAGAAGAGGCCATTCCTCGACCAAATGGCCCCAAGAGAGCTCCAAGAAGAGGAGCTAAGGAGTCCAGCAGGGCTGAAGTGCTAGACTTCAGAAAGGTGAACTTCAATGTGCTCAGGAGATTAGTTTTTGAGGCGTTAAAGCTCAAGAGCATTGCTGAAATGGGGGTCCAGGAAGGGTGGTCGTTCCTCAAGGGAACGATCCTATGGGTGCAGAAGGAGACAATCCCATTGCACATAAAAGGGGGCAAAGGGGCCAAGAAGCCTTCTTGGCTGAACAGGGAAGTCCAGGAAAGCCTAAGAGCAAAGCAAGAGGGATACAGGCTGTGGAAATTGGGGGTAGCTACCAAGGAGGAGTATACCTCCCTGGCTCACAGTTGCAGGGAATCAGGAAAGCCAAAGCAGGATTAGCACTTAGGCTGGCAACAAAAAATAAGGACAACAAAAAGTCCTTCTCCAGGGAGCAAAAGGAAGGTGCAGGATAGCATAGGACCCTGACAGGACAAACTAGGGCACTGGTGACAGAGGGGGACAAAGCTGAGCTCTTCAATGAGTTCTTTGCATCTGTATTCCTAGAC